GTTCCACAAGGCTGCGTGCTATCACCAACGCTGTTTCTTCTGCATATCAATGATATGTTGCTAACTGGTAACATACATTGCTATGCAGATGACAGCACTGGTGATGCTCTATACACCGGCCGTGCCAATATTTCTCGGGAAAACGTCACCGAGTACCGGAACAATCTTGTGTCTGAAGTCGAGACTTTGTTGAAAGTTTTGTACTTTATACAAAGTCTCGGATTGGAGGTGAATAAATCTAGTCCAGTTCCATCCCCAGAAGGCACAAGTTTGCGTGTTTACCGCTAAAACGAACCCCTTGTCGTGTCTCCTCAGTTTCAAGGCACTCCCCTTAATGCCTCAACCAGTATCAGAATCCTCGACGTCGTTATATCGAGTGACGTGCACTTTCGTGGTCACTTGGAAGAGAAGGCCAAATTAGCCTCTAAAAAGCTAGTCACTTACCATCAAGTGAACCACATGCTCATTTGCCCGCTCTCATATAAAAAAAAATATTTTAAAATTAATTATCGCCAGAAAATTTTCTGGACCTTTATGCTTCCAAGAAAAAAAGGCCAACTTTTTTCTTAAAGGCCGGTAATCTGTAATTAATTTGGTGATGCGGATTTACATCGGTGCCGATAGTCATTAAACATGACAGCCTCTTTTTAATATATTTAAAAAAATACTCGTTGATTAATCAAATGCCGTTTACTGCCAGCTTTGACACTGATAAATTTTTGTGCCAACAATATTATAGTCTTCGTAGATGACATGGTGTTGCTAAACTTGTTAGTTATATATTTTATTCACACTTAATTGAAAATTCGAACAAACCAAATTCAAAAGCTAACAACTAGAATGTGGTCTAAATTGTTACATAAAAATATCAATTCCTTATTTTTCCTAACTTAGAAATGGATATTTTCTTTAAATTTATATGGAACCACACTTATACGTCTCATTCTTATTTTTAATAGGTTATTAAGGTTAAAAATAGAAACACATCAGTTCTGCCTTTTCCGAGAAATTGGTGAACAAACATAATAAAACATATGTTTCGAATAAAGATACTTCTAGTTTATTTGTACTTGGTTGAAAAGGATTACAAAGCCTTACTGCTTTTTGGTATTTCCTTTTAGTCGAACCGGAATTAGTCTAAAAGCGAGTTCATAATAATAATTTAATTGCACCTACGATTCCCCTGATATTGCGGTTGTTCATGGACAGCGGTAGTCACTTACTATCAGGTGAGCTACATGCCCGTTTGCCCCCTCTTCTATAAAAAAAACTAATTTCAACTAATGTCCCCCACTTATAAGTATTATATGTAGCTCAGAATAGTATTTCAGGCCATCTTCTTGTGAGATGTTACTCACACTCTAAGGGAGCACAGGGAAGTAAAGATAACGATTTTATTTTATGCAGTTAACTTTACTTAATGCACTAATTTCTAGACCTGGAGGACTACAATATGAACTCTTATGGGCTTGTACTAATGACTTACTACTGAACAAAGAGCGAGCCAATCGGGTGGCAGGGTTAATGTACCGTCTTCTCGTTTCGCTTGCTATATATATTGTATAGGCTGTATAATGAATATTATAAAAACCACTTAACTTTATTTTTATAGCATTTACCACGTAGTGGCGGTGTAAGAATATCCACTACCCCATAATATCATCCCGTGGGTGTCACAAGAAGTGACAGGAGGAAACAAATCAGAAGATAGGCAGCAGCGTCTTCCTAATAACGACTAAAATAAAAACTATGCCAAATATCTTGCCTATGAGACAATATATGGAAGAGGCCAATGTTCAGTAACAGAATTTAACAGGCTGTAACGGAAACGGATAGTCTCTATACTTCCCATGGCTGAGCTCATGCCTTCTCTCATTTCTGATTGTGTTACGGAGGAACGATTTCACATCGCAACGAAATATTTTATTTCGCAGATATGCACCTCACGATACTTTCCTTCACTGAGGAGTACGGGGTAAATCAGCATACTAAAAATTTTCTTGGTGACGGCAGGGATCGGACCCGGTCGGATAGTCCTCTGTGAAATTTGAGCGCTGACCCTAACCTACCAAGGTCTTTTCAATTTTAATTCTTTGTAATTACTTAAAATTACTGATAATTTTATAACTTTAAATTTTTGTCAGTAAACGTTTCATTTAATATGTTACAATAAAAATTCAAAACAAATTTCGATGTATTGACATTAACAAAACGGTTCCCAAAATTGTATTGACATCGTTTTGTGCGCTGAATTAATCTACGTTTGACAGCTGTCAATTTTCTAGCCCGTTCAACGTCCTTTAATCGACCATCATTTTTCATTTTTGTAAAGCAATCACGCAACAAAGCCGAACGAAAGCTTATTACATAAATTATTTTTAGAAATAACTTTTATTTATTTACATATTCTCGGTGTGTAAGGCCACGCCATACTAGATAGAGTCACGAACTGATAAGAAATGCAGAAAGTTGTCGGAAGCAGGTGGCTCAGGACCGTGCTTTTGTGGCCTATGTTCAGAAGTGGGCATGAGCTGTAATGGTGATGATGTACGGAACACCTTTAACTGATATATGATGTAAGAAAAAATGATTTTATTTAAACTGAAAATGATATTAATACAAAATTGATAATGATTATAGAACGCGTCCGCACTGTTCGGAATGAAAACGTGACTGCTTGAAAAATAAAGTATATGACGCAAATGATGTTAACCTAAATAAATCGCTTACTAACAAAAATGTACGGTCGCACTGTACATGCTCCCGAGGGAGAGATCAGAGTGATAAGATAGATAGAGAACAACAAAAATTATATAAGACAAAATGATAATGATCTAAGATAATGACAAAGTTCAGGACTATTATAGTTAGTAGAATGACGTGACTAATAAATAAGGTAAAAATAAGTAGTTATAGGTCCATGTCCAGATCTTTTTTACTTGTTATAAGTCACTCAAGCACACTCTCGCGAATACGGGTGAGGTGCCTTTGTTTACTACTTATGCACTTTGCACTGATATGTTTTGATTAGCACTGAAAATACCACTTGCACAACTACAAGGAATATCTTGAAGAGGTAGACGTGGTGCAGTCTCCGGGCGGGTCAGAGGCGCCGGGCTCGACCGGCGTGCTCGTCGCAATCGCCTCCAAAGTACCGCTACTCCCGCTGCTCCGAATGCTCCCACTAACACGTAAATAACGACATAGTGGTGTAAGTCGTGGATGTTATTTATAGCTGGAATATCTATAGCTATTAAATCGGAGTGTGCATGAATTGTATTGATGTGATTGTTGTGTGGATAGATTATGAATGAGTGTCCCTTGAGTACGCAATTATTCCCGACTGACAAGATGCAGGCCTTGCTTAAGACGGCGATGATTCCGAAGTAACTTCATCGCTGCATATGAATCGAAGAGTGCAATGTTTGCAGAAGAAAAATAAGTATGTATTTATATTGTTGAGCGCATTCCATGAATTTTTACATTTTTTAATGCTCGTTAGACAGTTGTCTGTTGAAAGATTCTTAATACATACATTTTGTATTCTTGATACTTAATACATATGATAAATAGGGCTTCATACTTCACAAAGTTTCGTGGTGAGATCTGAATGTAGACATGATTAAACTTCGGCTTCAGTTACAGGTACGTATGTATGAGTCTCTTTAGATCTTTGCAGCGAAGTAATCAGAGATGGTAATTATGTTTATCATATTAGTGTCGTGTGATTGAGGAATGGGTAAAACTCTGTAGATGTCATAGTTTTCTCTGGTTAAAACAACATCTCTTCGCAGCGCCAGTGAATCGAGCCGATCGGAAAGGAGTAGGTCGTCGACGATTCGAGATGTTCTGCGTTAGGTGCAAGGAGCTGACACTGGTGAGCCCCAGTCCAGAGATGGGAACAGTATTCCATGTGAGGCCGAACCTGCGTCTTTTAAAGTAGCAGGCGGTGTGCCGACATGAAATATTGTCCCCCTCTGCTGAGCACGCCAAGCCTTTTAGAGGCCAATTTGGCCTTCTCTTCAAAATGACCACGAAACTGCACGTCACTAGATATGTCGACGCCGAGGATTTCGATGCTGGCTGAGGCAACAAGAGGAGTGCCTCGAAACTGAGTAGATACGACAAAAGGGTTTTTTTGCGGTAAATGCGCAAACTTGTGTCTTCTGAGGATTAAACTGGATTATTAGATTCAGTCAACCCCAATTCTAGAATTTGTTCAGCGACGACTCGATTTCAGACACAAGTTTGTTCCTCCTTGAACACCAGCGTTAATAGGCTTGTAATCTGATCATGCACTATCTACTAAGAACTTGATGCTCGGACCAGCCAGAAAATTGGTGATCCAATTGCATAATTTTTCGGTAAGCCCATAGGAAGGAAGCTTCGAAAGAAGCACTTTGTGCCAGACCTGATCGACGGCCTTCGCTATGTCCAACAAACTAACGGCCAATGCCTGCCCCTTTTTTATAGCAGCCCTCTGACATTTAATTTCAGAGTTTTTTTATATCTGTTAATGTTTAATTTCCTTAAGTTTTTTTAATCAAAAAGTGAAAAAACTCACAAAATTTCACTGTGTTCGGTACATTCTCTCTATTTATATGCGATATAGATACAAGGAAGCACCGATTACCTTGGTTACTTCAATTTGGAAGATGTTGTAGTTATCACCTTTTTTTTCTAATAATATTAATCTTTATTAGTTTTTGCAACTCGTTTAACAATTCCCTCACAATAAGTAACAAATTTAGCTCTAGTCTTTTTTTCAGCTAACAATGACCAAAGGTTAGCTCTCTCCATGTTTATTCCGAATGCAGTTTCAAATTCCTGTTTACTCGTACATATCTTTACCAAATCTGGGACATTCAAGTAGTATGTGCAGCATTGTCTCCTCCACGCCTGGCACATGAGGGATTCTCCTTACATTTAAATCGGTACAGGTAGTCGAAGAATCCACCATGCCCGGTCATGGTCTGTATCATTGCAGGAGACAGTGATGTTTATGCATTCACAGCATTAGGGAGAAAGATCTTTGTTGTTCCACCCGCATCGCCTTCTATATATCTTCGGTTCCATTTTTCTAGAGTCTCCAGTCGGATTTGTCTTTTTATAAAAGATACTTGGCACAGGTCATATGCTGATTTGCCCTTGATTCGCAACGCAGCTTGTTTTGCCAACTCATCGGCGCGCTCATTTCCCGGCAGACCCGCGTGAGCTTTAATCCAGAACAGTTGGATACTTTTGTGTTGAGGAAAAACGGCTTGTATGTTTTTGCGAGTCTTTACTGCAAGGGGATGCTTAGTTTCTTGGTTGACCATGGTCTCAAGTGCTGCTCTCGAGTCACTGTATACCCCAAAACTTTGTTCTTTCCTACTGAGGATGCACTCAGTTGCCCTAAAAATGGCCAGTATTTCTGCCTGGTAAACGGTGAAGTAGTCCGACAGTTTGAGCTTTATAGTTCCTGTCTCAGCTTCAATATTCCAAAAGGATAATGCTGCTCCGACTTTTCCCTCTATTTTGCTCCCATCGGTAAATATTCGGAGACTCTGGGTGTTGTTTAGTCTCGTTTCGTACTCGTTTCCCAGGCAAATGAATTCCAGGTCCATCTGGGACGCTGGATGTGATAATTCTGTAAAACTCACCCCCGCCTCCACCACTCGGTCCCCCAAGAGCGACCGAGTTTACCTCTCTTTGCCTCAAAAAGGAAAGCTGCTTCTTGGACCCTCAGGTCTAGAGGAAGCAAGCCAGCAAATGTTAGTGCGGAGTGTAAGGAGACAATACGGTAAGCCCTACAAATTTTCTGAGCAAATCCTCTTTGCACAGCGTTCAGCTGCTTTTTCATTCCCAATTTGCTAGCTGCTGGCGCCCACACGCTCGCCGCGTACAATACCACCGGCTCAACGACCGCCGTGTACATCGTCCTGATGATCACTGGTTGAAAGCCCAAACTAATCTTTGCAGCTCTCGATAGTTGTCCGTAGAGTGCTGTTGCCTTCCTACACACATTCCTCACGTGGGTATTAAAGGTGATTTTTCTGTCTACGGTGACACCAAGCACCTTAATCTCCTCCGACATGCCAATGCCTATCCCGTCCATGTTGAGATGTGGGGAATCGTATTTCAATTTGTTGGTTATAACCATAGCCTTAATCTTATGTGGACACAGGACACAGTACGTTACACACAGGGTTTACAACAGGACGATGTCGTCCGCAAACGCTTGACACCGGTCACCTCTTTTCTCGAATTCCTTAAGCAAAGGGTCCAGAAGCAAATTCCTCAGAACCGGTCCTCCTATGGAGCCCTGTACGCACCCCTTGGTAGTTGTCTGTGTTTGCTCCACCCTCGCATATCTCACTCTAACTCTTCTGTCCTGGAGATAACTGTCAACCAATCTCCTGATGTTTATGGGGCATCTTTCCTCAGCCAACCGACATCTAATTGCTCGCCACCAAGCGCTATCGAATGCTCCCTCTATGTCAAGGGATATCATGGTAACTATTTTCTTATTTAGTAACTGTGAACGTATGTATTCCATCATGTCATAGAGGGAGTCTTCGGTGCTCCTCTGTGGTGTGAAGCCGTATTGGCGAGTACTAACCCCTGGTTGAATGTGCCATCTTATTCTTCTAAAGACCATCTTCTCCAGGACTTTTCCCATGCCTGGTAGCAAACCTATAGATCTGTAGGCCTGTGGGTGCGTATAGTCCTCCTTACCGGGCTTTCGAAGGACCACAACTACTGCTTCCTTCCGTATAGTAGGGAAGTAACCCAATTCGAGGCATTTATTTGCAAGGCTTAGGTAAATCTCAGGGTTATGGGAAATCACCTCTCGGCAGATATCGGCCGTGAAGCCGTCCCCTCCCGGAGAATTTTTTGATTTGAAACTGTTTAGAGCGTTCTTTAGCTTACAGAGAGTGAATGGTGGATCGCAAGAATTATCTTGCGTTCCTGCATTTACCTCTTCAGCCATTTCTCTTATGCGCTGATGTGCTGCGTCGTCAGCTTCAACTAAGTCCTCCGGGTAAAAGGTTTCAGCCAGCAATCTAGCTGATTCTAAATTAAACAGTATTTTCCCATCTTTTATTAGTGGCAGGTCTTCGTGCCGTTTCGCTGTTCTGCTGATTACCCGATATATCCCATCGCATAAGCTTTCTTTGTCTTGTTTTCCACAGAACTCCTTCCAACTTTTGACTTGAGCCTTTTTTGCTTCAGATTCATATTGGTCCTTTGCTTCTAGGTACTCCTTGACAACAGCGGCCCGTCGTACCGCGGCAGCACATCTTATGCGGCATTTTTTGGTCATGACGTTTTTCTTTAGTGCGTCAAGTTCTTCGTTCCACCACGGCAAGATAAGTTTATTTTTATTTTTAATTTTTGGAATAGTTTTTTCACATGTTTCTTTAATTGTTTTTATATATTTTCCTATTTGGTATTCTAAATTAGCCTTATTGTTTATTTTATTTATTTCTGATATTTCAAAATTTTTATCTGTTAGCAATTGAGCCAGTTTCTCACGAAACTGACTCCAATTTGCTTTTTTGCTATTGTATAACCGTGTAACTCTTTCTATTTTAGGCCCCTGTGTTTTTCCATGAATAATTTTGAATTTAATTGTATTGTGGTCAGAACTTGTCATACCTTCGTCAGTCTTCCAATCCTTTATCAGATTTAATAGATTTTCCGAGCACACTGTGATACCCACATGGCTCTGATATATTTTGCCGCCTCTTACCGTATTGAATGTTGGAGTTTCTCCTTTATTCAGTATGTGTAGACCTAGTTGGTTTAGAGTACCTAAAAGCATTGCTCTTCGACTATCTTCCCTCACACTACCCCACCAAAGGCTCCATGCATTTGCGTCACCCCATATCAATATCTGTCTTTGACCCAATTTTGCGACTATATCCTTGAATTTGTCCATATATGGTTCGATAGCTACATCCGGCTCCAGATATAATGAGACTACACCCATCTCCCAGGTATTTGTTTTAATTATAACCACTACGATGTTATTTGTGGTGAGAGTCGGACATTGAGTAAGGTAGATTTTATTATCAAAGACAGCAATCGCCACCTTTACCACTCCTTCTGCCTGAGCACTTTGAAATACGCGCGCTCCACGATAGTCCCTCATATATCCGACTCCCCTCACGTATGGTTCCTGGATAAGGGCTAAGCTCATCCCTCCCTTGCTTGCTTCTAACATTAATTCACTCGTTGCGAGCTCTTTTCTCTGGACATTTGCTTGTGCCACTAGAAAAGGTTTCACCCCAGTTTCACCCTGTCTTTTTGAATCTCTACATTTGTTTTTCGATTCAACTTTAGCAATAAGCCACGCTAGTTCTAGCTATTGCGTCCTATTTTCTGCGAACCGGACACTCATTGTCGAAAGCGTTGTGGTCCTAGCGATCCATCTTTGCCTTAACGCAATTTATGCAGGAGGACACTTCCCCAGCCGAGAAGGCAGTGCTAGAGGTCTTCAGATGTTGGCCTCCACAGTGGGAACATTTTTCATCTGATTCTTTACAACGCCTTTTACCGTGTCCATAGGCGAGACATCTGGAATTAATGGTGACTGGTCCATAACCACCATCCGTTGCAAGTCCACATGAATTCTTCCCGCTTCTGTCAGTCGTTTCCACACTGGTGGGGAAACCTGGAGGACAACATGATTGGTGTGCGGGTTTCTTGTCTTTTTGCGGTAACGCACTGATAATCTCACTTCTTCGTTTTTCAAGGATTCCATGAGGTTCTTATTCTGGCTCCTTATAGCTGCAGTTATGTCGTCATCGGTGTTGATTATCAGCACGTCCCTCAATGTGACCAGGGGATCTTTATTTTTCGCTTGTTCTACTGATAGCCCCGTATCACCGGCTTTTATTCGGTTTGCTACCTTGTTCATTTCTTCACTAGTGCTACAACCCACAATCACTTTTTGGTCTTTAGTTTTCCTTACTTTTTCTACTCTTAGTCCACTTTGCTTTGCGTTCACAGCCACTCGGATCTTTTTGATAACATCGCCACTCGTATCTATTTCATTTCCTGATCTTACTATAATGGAGTGCATTTGGACCGGAATTGTGTTCCTCAAGTGATTCGCGTTAGGCTCCACTAGTTGCCCTTTATTCCACTTTGCAGCTACACTTGCATAGGTGATGCCTCCCCCTTTGACTCGATCGCCTACCCCCATCTATGTTTTAGGTAAACAAGAAGATCACTAGCTGATCGACCCCGATAGAAACTGTAGTGGTAGCCACTAATCAGTTGGTTCTCCTCAAGGTACCGCATGAGCTAGCAATTAATAATAGACTCCATTATTTTCAAGAACAAGGAGGTGATGGCGATAGGCCTGTAGTTGGACGTATCAGAGTGGTTACCTTTTTTAGGGATCGGGTGCACGAAAGTTATCTTCTATGAATTCGGGATAACGCCTAGGGAGCAGCAGTACCAAAAAAGACGCGCCAGAACCGGTGCCAACTCTGGAGCGCACGTCGTCAGCACAATTGGCGGGATACCGTCAGGCCCACTCGACTTATGTATGTCCAGGGAGAGGAGTGCTTTGCGTACTGAGCTCTAAGTGAATCGCACATCAGGAATAGAGCACTCATACTGCGGAATGGTCGGCGGTATGTTCCCCCCGTCATCGAGAGTCGAGTTGGACGCAAAAAGGGAGCCTAAAAGGTTCGCTTTCTCTTTTACGGCGTGGGCCAGTGAGTCGTTATCCCTGCGCAGAGATGGTAGTGATGGCTTACAGAAATTCCCTTGAACAACCTTGGCGAGAGTCCAGAATGCATGGATACCCGAAGGAAGGCGAACTAATTTCTCGCCAATTCTGCCAATGTGCTCATACTTTGTCTCGCAAAATCTCTTTTGAAGGACCTGGAGGCGAAGTTGTATTTCTTTTTAAACATGCTGGTGTTTACATTCCGAGCCGCCGAAGCCTCAGCCCAGTAACACTCCTACTTAAATATCATTTAACACATATAAGCCTTTTTACACAGCCTTTTTAATACTAAGCATTTTTAATTTAATAGTCCCTAATTTTTTTGGACTTTGTTGTAAAAGCGTAAACATTGTACCATATAGAAATTATTGTATATTTGGAGTCAAGTAACTGGTATTACTAGCTTGTGCTTGTTCCAAGTATTTAGAGTTAGTATATAAAGATGCGAGAGGTAACATATTACGTATTCACGTCAAAAAGCTATCAGTAGAAGTATCATATTCTTGCCGCATCAGAACACATAACATATATGGAAAATTATGAACGGTAAATAAAGTAACAAATAAAAATAGGACGTCTGTGTTTTGCTCATGTTTGTCCCCAGAGATTGTCGAGCAAACGGAAGCTGACTATTACACATTGTTTTGCTTCACAAAACGTTTCGAAAATAAGCAATCTGCCAAAAATATAACCTGTTTGATTGCCTGCTCATTTTTTTTAGATTAGAGAAGGCAATTTAATTCCAGTCAACTTTTTTATACTTGATGCGAATGTAACGTGCATGCACAAAAGATATTTGAATGAAACGGAAATTAGTTTTTCGGCGCAAAACCGTTTTGAGATTCATTTAAAATGTGTTACCATATGACAGCTTTGCCATATATATTTTATATACGACAAAGATCTTCCTGTAACATATTATATGTATATGTATTTATTAGCTTGGGAGTACATTAAAAACATTAAAAAAATTAACCGTGTTGTAGCAGAAACGTTTAGGTTTGTATATTACGTTCATTTATCTTCTTTAGCAGCCCGTTTAAGTCTCTTATAGTAAAGTGTGTGAGTATGAAAACGTTACCTCCCTCACACATTTAAAATTATAAAGTGTTAAAATAGTTTGCAAAATAAATTATTACTGTGTAAACATTATACAAAATGAAAAAAGCTTAATTTGTTAAGGAATGTTAAGAACATTTTATACAATTTGTTACTTTCCTACTTTATGCAAATAATAAACAAAGTGGAACAGTTCAAGCGTTCGCGCTCGCAGCCGTCCCAACCAACGCCCACCGAGAATTATACGAAGTTGGACGTAGGCACATTGTTTTTCTAACATTTTTACGTGGTAGAATCATGCTGCAGCTATACAGTTGTAGTTCGTATAGTTCTGCTCGACCAGGGAAGGACCACGT